TCCATCTTATAGTCTATCTCTGGTAAAAATTTCAACTCGAATTATCAGTTCTTATTCTAACTCTTTTACATCGACTGCCAGAAACCACACAGAAAAAACATCCTTTTGTTTTTTTTTTACATATTTTTCCCTCTCTCATTATAGGAATAGAAAAAATGTACGTTTCACAACAAGAAAGTCTTGGATACTGAATGACTTTATGTTGCCATTTGGCAACATCTGGTCAATATGAGCCAACATTTTCGGGAAGAGTGCGGATGTAAGTTCTGGTATGTGTGCATCAAGAAAAGACACACATGCATACGTACACCCTTTCTTCACAATGAGACAGCCAATTTTTTTCTAAAAAGCATTACCGTTTTTTCAATAACTATTTTATCTTGAAGTTTTATACTTGCATTTGAAAGTACATTTGTTTATATATGTGTCAGACAAATTTAGTATTTAGGCAGAATTGAACTAACGATAGAATTTTTTTATAAAAATATTAGATATAATTTTGCCTAGTCAAAATTAGCTCTAGGCATAAATGAGATTAAAGAAAAAATTGATATGGAGGCTTCGAAATTCTTCATCACCTTTTTTTAATTACTTTAGTATTAAATGAAAAAAATCATTTTAAGTTCGTTTAAATATAGATGTGGAAGGTGAGTTTTGAATCTAGTTGAGATTGAAATTGCTATTTTTGATTTTGCAAAAAAAAATATTTTCTTATGAAGACTATAAGTCCATTTATTTATTCAAAATTTAAAGTTTTCTTTTAGTTTATTTAATGACAAAGATATAAGACGCTTAGTATTTTTTTATGTGATAATAAATCAGTAATTTTTTTTTGATGATGGGAAGATGGGAACATTGATGATTGATTAGATTTTATTATGAGTAAATAAATTTTTATCTACAGCATCTGTATGCCCTGTTTTGATGAAAATGGGTTGAGAAGTACTTCTTCAGAATACCCACACCCCTTCACCTCCATTCATTGTCGTGCTAGCCAATGTGTACATAGGGTGTGTATTCTGAAGAAGAACCGAATAAGTAGATTGTTGTAATATCATTGTTGATATTGCAAAAGAAAATATCGAAAGCTATTTAACACTCAATGAACTTTGTTTATGAAAATGAAAGAAATTGACAATTTGATGATATAAAATAATCACGAACGGAGAACGAATTTTGCCTAGTCAAAATTGAATTTGATAGAAGCGCCAAAAAAAAACCATTTTGCCTGAAATTCATATTTGCTTGTGACATATATCATGATCAGGCTATAGAAGGTGTCTTCTCATGGGTAGGGAGAGAATTTATTCCTTTCCCAGTGATAGATATAGTGCCGTGAAAATATGACAGAGTGTCATGACTTAACTATTACTAATGTAAAGTGATTTCACAAACCTTTTTCCCTTCGTTGCTGAGTGCTGCTAAACTGCAACATCCCTATTTTTAATTATTCGGATGTTCTGAATGTTCCATCTTCCAATGCAATTTGTAGTGTCCTCTAATATATATATATATAGGTATAAAAGTTTTACACATATTAACTCGATCTTGGAAGCAGCTTAGTTGACGTTATTAAACAAATTACACTTTGTATAATATCACTGAAACATATTGAATAGGAAAATTCGATGCTCAATTTATTGTGAAAATCAGCAAGCTCGTGCAGCAAATTGAACACTTCATTGTCACATTCATTTTTTTTTCAAACATGATAAAATTCGTTGAGTTTTTATTTCATAATTTTGAAAAATTTTTTAAAAACATTACTGATCTTTAACAACACTAATATCACAAAAGCATTGTAAATATCTTTATCAGTGGCGGATCTAGCCGTTCGGCGATCGAACTTTCAATGCGATTACGCCACCTAAAACTTACGACGTAATTCAACCCTTCCCTAACCAACATAGAAGCCTCACAAAGATGATTCCATTCGCGTTGACCTATACTTCTTACTGCTTCAAAAAAAAGTAGTTCCCCTCACTCTGGCAGAATCTTAGATCCGCCACTGATCTTTACTATAATTTACATCTAGTCTTTTCTGTATGGAATTCATCAAATAATTCTTATTTGATTATTTAAGATAACTTGAATTTAGTCACTACTAAAAGTGATCTTATTTTAATTTTTATAGACATAGATAAACGATGTTTCATTAGTTCTAGATCTCAACGAAAATTAGTTTATATAGAAACAAAGAGTGATCAATATCCCATCATGTTTTTTTTCTTCTGTTTATATCACTATTATTAAAAGAGATAATGTCAACGGATAATATTACATTTAAAACATCGTCCTAAGTACTCGAACCACATATAGAAGATATAGTTGGATAGAGATCACTCTTTATTCACATATAAACTAATTTTCATTGAATTCGAGAATTTATGGGACATTCTTTATCTATAGAAAAATAAGTTGAATAAAACTTCAAAGAATATAAGAATTAGTTATTTAATCAATTTTAATAATTATACTATGCCAAAATAAATACAACTACTAATCAGTATCTTTAGAATCATAGACTAAAAGTTTATAGTTGACTTTAAAATCATATCAACTTATAATAAATTCTATTCTTGTTCGATAGACATACATTTGACATATTGTAATGAATATTAAAATAATTTTTAGAATACTATATAATGAAAAAAAAAAAATTAATAAAATAATTATTCTTTAATCTTAGATGTGATTTATGATAGTTGAGTAAAGTAATAAAATTTAAACGTTATATTTTGATTGTCCAAAAATGCAATGTTTTAAACATTGAAACAATATAATCTTTCACTATGTTATCAATAATGTTTACAATCAAAAAATGTATTGTTTAGATAGAATATCGAAAATTGCTTTAGAAAATTCGAACTACCCAGACACATTCTTGATTATATGAGGTAATAGTAATATTCTAACAGAGATCATACACAAGTCAAGAGAAAAAAAAAGCTTATCATGAGATTCGTGTACTTTAATTTTCTCGTTATCTGCAGGATGATCATAATCATCAGTTACTTTAATTCGATTGATTATTCAAATTTGTAGAAATTCATCAAGTATACATTTTCAATATTTTCATAATTGTTGTTTTTTGTTTTTTTATTCAATATGTAAATATAATTATCTGATAAGAGCAAAGGTCTTCCTTTTGCTAAATTAATAAATGAAATAAACTAGCGATGATGGCTGATCTACATCTGGTGAAGACGAAGCAGCTACGATCATGATGATAGACTTTAGTTGTATATTAGCTAATTTCTATCAAATATTATTGATCATTTATACTAAAGATTACAGATGTAAACCGATAGAATAATGCGAAAAGCTGTAATCTTCATTTTCACTGATTTCAATATTACCGAATGGATTCATACCGTAAAACCAAGTCTGAATCAAAACTTGAATGATTCTATATATAAAGTTTTATTATAATGAATTAGTTCATTACCAAGTCGATTAAATCTATTGTTTGATCAAGAGTTTGGGTGTCGATGGCCAGATCTACATTTACACTCTAAATTGATTACCAATTGAGATAACATAAAATCGATTTGATAATGAACTAATTAATTATCATAAAATGTTATACATAGAGTCATGAATTCATTCGGTGATATTGAAATTGACGAAAATAGACTAATTCAGATGTATCACTCTCTGATTTCAACAGTTTTATTCTTCGATATGTTTTTTGTTTGATAAATTCAACTTTAGTCCATAGTAAAAATGCTGAAAAAAAAACTAAAATTTTAAAAGAAACATTGTTCTAAAAGATGTTATTATTGCACGATCAATATCGACTTATGGGATGTGGATGTGTGGCTGAAGAGAAGATACATCTACACTCTAATTGCAGATTATTATAATAGGAGAATGTTATACTTCAATGATCTTCTGGTGCATTGATGCAAAAAAAACAAACAACAGCATTACAAAGTTGAATAAGCACGTTGTATAATCGATATAATAATTATTTCATCATAGCATTTGATCTTTTTAACAGTTTGTCTTTTATTGTAGGAAAAAAAAAGTTATCAACGTACGATAAGAACATTATCTAAAATCGATAAACTAATATTGCAAAGTATTTTTATTTATCTTTCATTTTCAATAATAAACATTTGATATTGAATTTCGCTATTTGATTTTTTTTTAAATTTCTCAACGAAAAAATATTCAGTAGTCTTCATCTCAGTTTTTGGGCTAAACTTGAGAGAATTACTTCGATCAGTCCAAAAGTAGTGAGAATGACGCTTTAATGCCTTATAGTAACCTGAAGGAGAGTTTCTTTTCGTATGAAACGATAGAGAAACAAACGCTTTATTTCATAAGATTCGTTTTAGTATTACGTATTTTTGTTACGACACTATAGGGCGTACAGTAAGTCATGCAATAGACACACTAAAAATTGAATATCTCCATTATAGCTCGACCAAATGGGCTCATTTTTTTTTTACTAAAGATAGAGGCATGTTCACACTCCAAATTCATATGGACAATATCAGTGAGAACCTTTGTTAAATACCACTATTGACCTCAACAAGCAAAATTTTATTAGTAAGAACCTATGGTGAGTATATTGTTTTCTTTTCCTATCTGTGAACAAGTAAAATTTTGCTTGTTAAGGTCAGTAGTGGTATTTAACAAAGATCCTCACTGATCTTGTCCGTATGAATTTGGAGTGTCAACATACCTCTATTCTTAGTAAAAAAATGAGCTCGTTTGGTCGAGCTATAATGGAGATATTCAATTTTTAGTGTGTCTGTTTCATGACTTACTGGACATCCTATATAACGATTACTTACTTACATAATACATATATCATACGGATGTTCAATTCATTAATCGTTTGTAAAAATTTATCACTGACACACAGCTGTTTTAAATATTACTATAGATAGGACAATGATGTTTTATATTACTTGTCTTTCTCTTTAATCACACATATAATTTTTTTTTTCTGGAATATTTATTTGATAACAGACAGAAAAAAAAACAAATTATGGTTCAATCGATGTATCGATTGATTCTAACAAATCATTCACCTGAATTACACGTCCATGATTGTTGTTATAACGAAGTATTGTTTTCATTAATCGTAATGCTTCGGTCAAATAATTTCGAGCTAAACCTCGATCTTGTGATCGAACATATGATTCACCAATGTTAAGTAATAATCGTGATAATTCATCAGCTATTCGTTCATATACATCATCTTCCAAATTCATAACATCTTTTACTTTATCAGATTCCTCTTTTAAACGACGATGTTCATTAACATTTCCACAATATATATACATGCTGTGAATATTTTCGTAAGTACGTCTTGCAGGAACAATTTGTTGACCAGCCTGTCCGGACATAATGAGAAAAATCTGAGTTTTTGGTTTATCATCCAGAAATTCATAAAATTCTGCAGGAGTTACAAAATAATACCATTTTTCAATAAGTGGTGATAATTCTTCAAAGCGTTGTTTCATGGATTGATAAGCACCATTGCAACCAATGCCTTGGTCAACCCAAGCACCGATGATAGGTGGACGACGATGGCTAGTCAAATTATTCACTGCCATTTCTTTTTAAATAAAACTTTTCATCTCTGATTTTGAGATTTATATAGTATACCAAATAAGTAGGAAAAATCCATTGTAATCAAAAGAATTGAAAGAAAAATCTTTTAATTTCTATGAGTCATTCTCTTCCTCAGAACTGTAATGTTTATTATTAGGCTTGGGTTTGTTTCTTTCGTATACTCGTTGACTGTTATTCTGTACTATCAATTTTTTCTTTTTGCACTTAAAAAAAAAACAAGCAAGGAAGAATCGTTCCTTCAGTCAACATACCATTGATATAACGTCATTCTATTCATCTTTCAATTGATATGTGTCATTGAAAAGAACGCAATTGAAATTGATAATTTGATCGAGCTGGAAAAAAAAACTTGCCAAGAAAAAATATATGTTGTTTAATGGCATCAACTCGACTTTTAGCGATGATCATTTTCTTTCAGCAATCATTGTAATATATCCTAGTGAAGATACGCATAAAGTAATCATGTTGGAAAATGCCACAAGTATTTATCAATAGTTCTCGTGTTGAAATCTGTATACAACAATTGAGTACTTACCTTGTATTATTGAATATTTCATGAGTACTCATAACATTCATTTTATTAAAGTATAAAATCAACAATAAAATACAGGAATGTGTACAATGTTTTTTTAAGAGATATAATCAGTTTGAAAACTAGATGCATTCAACACATATATGCAAAGCAAGATAAAAATACATAGGATAGTAGAGAATTTCAAACTCTATCAAAATCTATAATTGCTTTATAAAAAAAAGTTTCGGATAAGAATAATAAATTCAAGAAGAAAACTTCAGAAGCAACGAAAAATGCAGATTTTTGGTACTTGTCAATTCACGGTGTGTTCACTGTGTTCAACTATTTTTTTTCAATAAATATAATATAAGAAAATAGATAAATACACAGAATGATAATGAATTTCATGCTCTATCAGAACATATAATTGCTTTTTTTTTAAAGCTGATTCTATAGTGATGAAAAATTTGTGCGAATCTAGACATGAGAGTGTCTTCGTTACGCTCAAATTATTTTGATAATGAATAGATCTAAACTAAGACTTAATTATACAGAATGATAGAAAATTTCACAGGCTTTCAGAATATGTAATTACTTTTTAAAAAAGAGTGTGTTTTTTATAGTAGAAATCTATTCAAAATACAGAGTCTAATTATTTTTTTTTTTCGAAGATAAACGTTATTTTCCTTATTTGTGTGCATTTTGATAGTTTATTTTAATTCATCTCAAAAACTAGATGTTCAAGAGTTAACAAAAAAGTAAAATATTCAAAATCTAGTATATATTATTCAAATGAATTACCTAGAGTTTTTATCACTTACACTTATCTATGAGAAGACGCCAAAGCAAAATAAGGTGAAAATAAATGACATCAAATATCAACATAACGAACGATTGAATTATGAATGAGTAAGTGATGACGTCTAAGGACTATTACCTATGTTTTCAACGAGTAGTTGCTCTTGTTCTATGGTGGTTTTTTTCTCACCAACGCTGACTAATAAGAAGACGTTAAAGAAAATAAAGAATAACAAGTATCAACATAACGACAAATCTAATTATGAATGGGTAGATAATGATGACTAATAATTGTTGCCTACGCTTTCAACAAAAGGAACTCTCCTTTTCTATGTGTCACCAAGCATAAGTAGCAAAATCCCCACATACTTCATGTGGACAATATATATATATACACGCATAAGAGATGATAACTTATCAAGCAAAAACTACAATCCAATACAAACATTTTACTTTGATAGTAAGTAGACTGTTTTATTTGTTATACTGCAATGCTATGAGAGAAATTGTCCAAGAGCAAAAAAAAAGAATAGTAGCTAGCATGAATATGATACAAAAAAAATGAACAAGAGAGAGCTCATCACTGATGAATTAGGCTGATGGATAAAGAATACTCATTCAAAAATGAATAGAGTATTTCCACTGAGTTTCTATAAATGCTGATATTATCACATTGAGAGGAGATAGTTCATGTAAATATGATAGAAATACGTTGGAATCAACGAGTAGTATTGTCATGATTGTGTTAATGCTCTTAGCAATTTATATTCAATACAATATAAATTTGAGTTTCGTTTTGCCGGCTTTAAATTATCTCCTGTTTAAATTCATTCGGAATAAAAATTTAACTCGATTTTCAGTTAATCATTTGCTATAATATTCAGCACTTCACTTTTCGAAGGTTTTGCCTCAGGTATACATGTTATAAGATAAAACGAACTTGTTATTTGTTAAATTTTGCTTTTGAATTGAAGTACTTGTATTCTAATCCTGTTTCTCACATGAATATCTTGAGAAATGTTTTTCTCTAACGCATTCTTAACCTTTGACACTTGAAAATTCCAGTGCGTTGATTAAGAATATCACAATAAGTATTTACAGACTTCCTTATCTCGAAAAAAAAACCAGGAACCTATAAAAGTTATTTGTCCTGAAACTTGAATTCAATTCGAAAAGTCAAAACCAAGTGTCAACTTTCAAGTTTTGATAACAAGCGTGTCGAGACATGAGACACTATAAGTGACGCATATCGATTCTATTGTAACTCGATTTATGAGAGAACTGCATCAGAAGTCTCTTCAAATTTCAACAATTTTCGGCCTATAGATATCTGAAATTTTTCGAATACTCTAATGTTCAGCAGATCTATGTATGAACAAAATTGTGGATCGAAATTCTGTTATACATTTTTTGATGAGGTAACTGTTTTTTTGTTTACTTAGACTTCTTTTATAATAAATAGGCGTGAATTTCAACTCACTTAAAACTTAACAAAAAAAAGTAATCGGTCAATTTATAGCATCTTATTTCTACTTTTCACAGGAATTTCAAAACAAAAAATACGAAAAACGACGCACTTTTTTATCGTCAAAATGCATATTTACTTCATTATCTTTATATGTGCTAGTCCAACATTATGGGCAGCACGCACTTTTCGTCTTAATAATCAATGTGGTCAAAAAATATGGCTTGGTATACAAGGTCAACCTTTGATTTACTCCGGTGGAGTTGAAGTTGAGGCTCGTTCAACAAAAGATATCAGCGTACCAGATGGATGGGTGAGAAGATACATCTGATCCTAGTTTTTCACTTTTGACTAAACTTTAATTACGAAACATCATTTTGCAGGTTGCCGGACGCATTTGGCCAAGAACGAATTGTCGAACTGTCAACGGCAAATTTACATGCACTACAGGTTAGTGATTGATATAGGAGTAGTGTTTAAAGGTAAAAAAATGTTGATATGTAGGCGATTGCGGTGCACCAGCAAATGGATTTGGTATGGGATGCAACGGAATAGGTGGCCAACCACCAGCAACACTCGCCGAATTCACTCTAAATGGATGGGGTGGTTCAGATTATTATGATATATCGAATGTCGATGGTAACTCGATGAGCATGACTATTCGACCCATTCCTGGTCAGTTCACTCAGGTCAATAATCCATCATTGGGAAAATATAATTGTGGCGCGGTAAGTTGATTGATGTATTTGACAATGACAAACGAGTTCTGACAATATTCAATCCTAACTTATTCAATTTTTTCAAATATATCACTTTGAACGACAGATAAGGGTTGGAGACATGAAACTAACAATAGTTGTTTTTTTTTTCTTAGAAAACATAGCAAGATTAAATTTGAAACATAGTTCAGAAATTACACCTCAAAGAATAAAAAAAAGAATATGAGGTCAAAAACATGAGAGAAATGTAATTACACTTCCATCGATGTATATACATTATTGTTAATTGTGTTTGTAGTATTTTCTCATTTGTTCTCGTTTAGCCAACGTGTATATTTGATCCAAATCGATGCCCTCCAGAACTGCAAATGGATGATGGAACAGGCCGTAAAGTATGTGCCAGTATCTGTGCTGCTATTAACAATGCCCAACAACGAGCACGATTTACTCATCTTCAAAATATTTACAATAATCCAGATACTCGTTCGTTGGTTTGTTGTTCATGTGATGGAAATCATTGTGTACGTAATATGCACAATTTAATAATAAGTCTATACTAATCTCTTAATTATAGGTATCACCACATGATAATGTAACACCAGGTGGTAAATGTTACGTAGAACAATGGCCACGTTCAACACAAAATACACGTTATGATGAAATTTTTAAAACTCAATGTCCAGATGCCTATTCATGGCAATTCGATGATTTTGCTAGTAAGAATATGTGCATACGACTTTAATGTTCTCTACATTGTATTATTTTCTACAGGCACATATCAATGTACAAAAGCAAATTATGAAATTATTCTTTGTCCTAGTGGTGATAGTTCAGGAGGTGGTTCGACCGTGCAGTGGAATGGAAATAATTGGGCCATGTCGTGTGATTTCCGTGGAAATGATCTATCTAACGTCAAAATTGCACCAGAACTTTGTGGTGGAAAGTGTGCTGAAACTCAACAATGCACTCACTTTACATGGAGTGGATACAATGGTGGTACTTGTTGGATGAAATCGGGTACAGTGTCCAAAAACGATGCCATCTCAACTAGTGATTCAACTATGGTTTGTGGCGTAGTGGATAACAAGCAGCCAACACCAACTACTTCGACTGTTCAGTGGAACGGAAATAATTGGGCCATGTCGTGTGATTTCCCTGGAAGTGATCTATCTAACGTCAAAATTGCACCAGAATTTTGTGGTGGAAAGTGTGCTCAAACTCAACAATGTACTCACTATACATGGACTCAATATAGCGGTGGTACTTGTTGGATGAAATCGGGTGCAGTTTCGAAAAACGATGCCGTGGCAACCAGTGATCCAACTATGGTCTGTGGTGTAAATTAATAATCTCTGAATAAAATATTTTAGTACAAAACTTTTTCTAGTATTCTATTTTTACATATTGTCTATTTTTAATCTATCATATTCAAAATAAATACTTAATCTCCTTCTTCAATACAAAAGGATCATATCTTAACACAACATCTCGACATATCGCTACTTTTGAAGCGGCTAACTATTGAGAATCAAACAATTTACTACATCGAAATCTTTGAATGCGTAGAAAATGTGAACATCGTATTCGATAGGCTTTATAAACATGATACTATTCTGATCTTCATTCATGTTATGAGTTATCGCATTCTGCTTAAAATTCACGACCTTGAAAGTATTCTTTCAATTCATGTTCATGCTTTCATCGCAGACATAATCAATATCTTAGCAATGCTCCCTCTCCGTCACAGACATCGTAATTATACTTTATCCTACTCGCGTTACAGATCGTGACAGATTTTGTTGATATTATACGATCAAAGATTGTACATCAATAATGGCTCGTGATAATATACGAGATACTTCTTTATTGCATTTCTGAAGGATTAAGTAAAAAGAAATCTCATAGGAATTGCTCTAACAGCTTTTTTTTAATGTAGAAGTTCGTTATTACAAATCCTTTTCAGTATGTTTCATTTAATTACATTATTTTTCTTTATTACATTGATTCAATCCATTTTTGTACGTTATATAATGCATAAATGTTATGCTAAATCATCTGTGAAAAAAAAAATCAAGGATGAGTACTCGATAGAATATACAAAAAATATACATACACATAAAATTACTCGATTACCCATGCAAGCAATTTGAGTAGTCATGCTGACAAGTCGTACTCGCTACATAAATATTTTCACTAGGACACTAATTGTAAGTATATTTATCGTTTGTTTTCATCAAAACAAAGGCATATCCTTAGCTATTGACATATGAAATTAACGTGTACTATACAAAGACGCTTTATTATGTTAATTTATAAAGTTTATTCATCAATGTCATTGAAGATAATGATCATTATTATTCAGCAATAATCATGATACAACTTTTTATCATACAAACATTATTGAATAGCAAAAGAAACTTGTCATGATATTAATTCATAAACAAAAAAAATGATATCTGTTTTACTTTTCTTGAATACAATAACTCAAGTTAGTATTGATCATACATATTATTTATTAGAAGTGATAAAAAATCTTTTTATACAAAGATACCAATACCAAATATTGAATGAGTAATAATAATGATTAATTACACATAATCATCAGAATATATTTCTTAGGCTGATTACACATAAACAAAGATCAAGTCAGTATTTTATGCAACTTACATTATATTTCTCGAAGAAAAATTTAGTAAATGTAAGGTTTTGCTATTGTCTCATATAGCATAACGGGATATAGAGAAGGAAGTGAATGTTCTAATTAGTACATGCTTTCTGAGAATATTAATTACTCTGAAGAAACAAAATCTTGCAAGGTAAAAATATCGAATACATTAGAATGATCGAAATGAGCATTTTTGACTAATGAATCATTCTCTTGCATTTTGTTTTTGTTATTCTATTCAGTTTTCTGTGTATATGGGATGGAGGTGTGAATGTGAGCTATTATTTCATGCACACCCTTATTGTCCAGATTTCAAAATGAGGAAATTGATTTGAAAGAATATCATCAAAGTTTATTATTACTTATCACAAAGAATATGAAAACTAAAAAATGATTCTCAAGTTAATACTGATTTTCTTTTGTATCAATTTTTCTCTTGAGTTAAAACGATAAAATATCACATTATAGTCGAAATTGTATATGTATACTCTTAACTCCTAAATTTTTATCATTCTTCAACAAATTTATGATTCATAAATTATGTATCTAATCAAATTAATTTTATGTTATATACTTTAGAGATTTTCTCTTTCCTTCCAAACAATTATCACTAATACAGATAAAAATTTATATTCGAAATACCAAGGATGATGAGTACTGATACATTGATTTACCACAGTCGTCAGCGTTTACTCATCAACATATAACTTTGAAAATAATCAATATCAATGTCTTTAAGCTTATCAACATATATATAATAATACATTGAGACCTGCATTAGATGTAATGCATACCTAAAACGGACTTCTTCTCAAGTCAAATCAATGCTTAGAATAATAATAATAATAATATTGCAGTAAGAAAAACAGAATACGAAAAAGAAAAATAACGAGCAAATAGCGACACGACATACAAAAAAAAATTGAGTGACTATGAAAAAAAAAGAGAAAAAGAAATTTTTTTTTTTTATGTTTGAAATGCAAATATAAATAAGAAAATTCGTTTATCTTTGAAAAATGATATAAGTCTGTCAGAAATTTTTCGTATTACGTAATATTTCAATTTCATATATTAGCCACAAAAGGAGCTATGCTGACAAGCTTGTTTTTTTTTTAAATTACATTTATCTTCTTTACAAAAGAAGATATCTTAGAAGAAATTATGAATGTATAATTTATAGTTATGTTTTAAATCATGTGTGTTAACAATGAATAAAAAAATATTTTCAAAAGAACGGGAATAAAAATGAATGTATATTGCAATAAAAACAAAAAAGAAACAGAATGTGTTTTATCTCACGTGGTTTTATTGTTCGTTTTATTATTCTGTTTTTCTTGTCAAAGAATACTTACCATTTCCTACATGCACACACACACACACATACACATATATTCTGACCCAACTACATATAATAGTAGAAAAGAATCTAAGCAAGTAAAGGTGTGCATATGAATAAAAAGAATACTTTGTAAATATTTGTTTTCTATGCTTTTTTTGTTTTGTTTTTATTATTATTATTATAATGGAGTGTGGTTTGGAGTTAACTTATGAAGCTGATAGTTTACTCTTATTAACCGTTCAACAAGGAAATCTTGATATATTAGAAGAATATTTAACATCAGTATTAAATCCTGAAAAATATCTTAATCAATTATATGATAAAGGATATAATCAAAAATGTACTTTATTAACAATTGCTTGTTTAAATCGACATGATGATATAATTCGTATGATACTTCAACGTTTTAAACCTAATCTTGAAATCGAAAATAATTTATTATTTGGAGATGGAAATAAAAATCAACAAATGTGTTTTAATGTTACAGTTTTATGGACAGCAGCAGCTACAAATAATTTTGATATAGTTAAATTATTAATTGAACATGGTGCTAATATTAATCATACAACAAAAACAAATTCAACACCATTACGTAGTGCTTGTTATAATGGAAATATAGATATGGCACGTTATTTAATTGAACATGGTGCTGATATAAATATAGCTAAAGAAAATAATGATACAAATCTTGCAGTAAGTGTATATCGTAAACATTTAAAAATGGCTAGTTATCTTGTGGATGAATTAAGTTGTGATGTAAATATATGTGATAATGATGGTCGACCACCACTTTATGATGCTGTAAATTGTGGATCATTAGAATTAGTAAAATTTTTACTTGAACATGGTGCTCGTAATTTTCCAGCAATTTGTGATCAAATGTCACCATTAATGTGGGCAGCTGAAAAACGAAGAAAAAGTCTTGTTGATGCTATTGCTTCTTATTGTTCATTAATTGAACAGATTGAAGCTGAAGAATTACTTGGTAGTGCTTTTGCTTGTGCTGATCTTGAAGATCGTGATTTTGATGAAGCATTTGAACATTTTACTCGTGCATTTCATTTAAGATCAATTCATAATCTTCCAAAAAAATTAAAATTAATTACAATAGATCTATTTGATAATCAACAAGAATGTCAAACAATTGAACAATTAAATGAAATTTATACAAATCCTACTCGTATATGTATTGAAGCATTACTTATACGTGAACGTTTATTAGGTCCAAATAATGCTGAATATCGTTATTCACTTCGTTATCATGGTGCTATTCTAGCTGATAATAATCAACATTATCAAGCTATGGCATTTTGGATGTATGAACTTGGATTACGTGAGAAATATTCAATTACTATGGATCCAGAAAATTTACGTCATTTTGCTTCAATGTTTAGTGAAATAATATTTGTTTCATTATCTGTACCAATCGAAAATTTACTAACAGTAATAAGAGTTACAGTTGAAGAATTAAAACGTAATACAACTGAGTTTGATTTTAATCTACATACATTACTTTTTCTAATAACAATTACTAGTCAGGTAATTTTCTTTTATTTTTCTTGACAATATCTTGCCAGGAAATCCAAATTTCGATTCGATCTGAGCTTAAATTGATCTCATTAATCTCTAAAAAAAAAATCTTATTACTTTAACGAAAGCGTGCAATAGAAAAAATGGTGTTCTCAATATTTTGACCATAACTTTTTATTTTAATTGATCAATTGAAGTTCTTTTGATTTAATTTTATCCTAATTCATCCCATATACAATAATTCAAAGGATTGATATCAGAACTATTTGAAGGGCAATGATCTTTATCGATAAAAAATTTGAAAAGTTATCCTTGCATCATTCTTGTAATAAATGATGTATATGTGGCTTTGCAATCGTCTCTGTGATTCTCAAAGAATTTATCTCCACATTTTTTAGTCACTTTCGCATCAGCTTCAGCACGGTTAACTGCCCATGTTCTATCATTTTGAACGTAATACATTCCATTTAAATCAAACATTTTTTTCACCCGAAAAAATTCAGAAATATCCAATTCGTTTGCTAATATTCGGAGTGGTACTCTCTTTTTTTTCTAACGTTCTAGTCGATTTTTCACCTTTTTGTATCATTTTTTTGGTGCGAACAATACGAGGATAACCAGCTATTCAAATGACGAAATACGATCATTTTCGTATTTGAAAAGTATAACTTTTTGTAAATCTTTACTTTTCATGTTCTAAAAATTTGTTCTATCTAGAGAGGAAAAAAATGAGTTATAGGATTTTGTAGAGAATTTCACAAGACATCTTTCAAAAAAAAATAGCTCGATAGAATGAACGCTTTAAAAGTTAT